CCACCCTCATAGCCACTGATCTGCTCACAGGCTGGTGGTGTCTTTCCGAGGCTGCCTTGCTGTGAGGCTGCCATCTCCGTCTGTGAGCTGGACTGCGACATCCTCAAAGAAGGGCTACGGCGAAGAAGCACAGCCGGGATCAGTGACGCCATGCTCAGAACAGTAGCTCATGAGAGCTGAGTGAAGCTGGTGCTCAAGGCAGATCAACAGCTGGACATCTATGATACCTGGTGAGGAAGGACACTGTGGGGTGGAGAAGTGTGGCCTAGGTTGGGGACTTTTGGAGAGTCCTATTAGTACTTTTTGTCAGTTAGAAGCAAAAAGTGATCTCTTCAAGGTTGCTGGAGCTCAGAAAGGAGGCTGTCATGCTTGTAGTCCCAGGTACTTGGAGATAGAGATTGGGGAGGATTGCAGTTTGAGGACAGCCCAGGCAAAAGTTAGAGAGACCCACCCCCACTCAAAAATAAGGTGGTGTGGTGGTACATGTCTGTAATTCCAACTACATGGGAGGTATAGTAGGAAGATTGAGGTATGAGGCTGGCCTCAACAAATGCAAGATCCTACCAAAAAATAATAAAAAGGGGCTGGGGTTAGGCTCAAGTTGTAGAGTGCTTCCTAACAAGTGTGGGTGAGTATAGTGTGCCCCCCAAAAAAAGGCTGACTCTAAGTTTCTGAACAGGTGGTGAGGACGGTGCATGGGACTTAGGCCTGGGGAGAGAGGTGTAGAGGCAGCCTACAGAAGAGCTCTGGGCCTCACTTGAGCTTCGGGCTTTGGAGTGCTGGAGGATGCTCTCTGTCTCCTCATCTCGGGGCCGCTTGTCGCTGGGGTTGTACATCTCCAGACTGTCATACAGTTATCAGATCCTCTTCTACTCTCGAATCTGCTCCCGGGATACATGCTCCAGCCCGAAGCCTACCTGACGTGGAAAAAGGATCTTTCAGTTTGAGGTTCTCCCTATTAACAATTACGGTCAAAATGAGCAATTCCTTTTTCCTGGGCCAAATGTCAATCCCCAGTACTTCCTCTGAGAAGACATAGCAGTGCCACACTTGTTGGAGTAGTCTTCATGTCCTTTCTGTGTCCAACCCAGCAGGGGTGTGGTGAGCTACCTTCCCTCTGTTTCCTCCTGACAGCCATACAGGGCCTTCACCAGGAGGAAGAAAGAGTGCTGACATGCCTCCAAAGGAACGGCCACAAGAAACCCAGAAGCCAGGCCTGGTGACCTCCTCTGAAGCCCACAGAGGAACGAAGACCCTCTCTATAGATAATTTTCATCTTTAATTCTTTCTTAGCTCACTGAGAAGCCTGTGAAGACTGGCACCAGGACCTCCAGAGTGCAGGAGGATTTCCCTCAATGGATCTGTTTCTGGTGACTCGAGCGCTGGCCCGAGGCCAATTTGCTTTTGGGCTTGTGTCATGGCTACCTTGGGATGTGAGGCTAAATAAAACAGCAATGGCTGGATTTGTCATTGTCCTCCCATGCCAGAAGCTTGGTTATTAACCAGTAGTTAGGTATAACTGCGCTACCCTATCTCCAAATACATGAAACCATACACTGCACGGGAAGCCTCCTCTTTTCAAGTAGCATAGAGCTCTGCTCCAGCCTCCCTTCTCCCTTGGGGCTCTGCTAGGCATGCAAGGGGGGCAAGAATCATGACCCAGAATCCTGACTTCCCAATTGCTACACAGGACCAAGGTGTGAAGCTGTTGGAATTCTATCCACCATTAATCTTGGGAGTAAGGGATCATACCTCATCAGAAACTTTGAACCGCTTCAGGAGTGCCACAAACTTCTGTTTGATGTTAGGTTGCTGTGGGACAAATTGCACAATAGTTCTCAAACAACATCACCTCATAGTTAAGTCAACAGACAGTGCTGTGAGCATATCCTTGCAGGGAACCATACAGGGGAGAAAGGTGGGAGACACACTGAAAACCACCCTGGAAAGACAGGCCAGGGTACAACTGGGAGGAAGAGGCCTCCCCTGTCCCCAGGGCCTCCAACTGAGCCCTGACAACTTCCAAATTGCACTTCCAGCCCCGCCCCTGCTTGCCCTTCAGATCCAGGTATCAGCTGGTAACTGCTCTGAACGTTATGTGTTCAATCTTTCAGAATGGCACTTGTCCTCTTCTTGCATTGCCATTCCAATTAGCGACATCAACAACCTGCACTAATTACAGAGCTGCACCTGGAATCTCCCACTGCTGCCGTCCCATGCTGGCTAACTCTTGTCCCTCTTGCCTTTAACACTACTTCCTTTGCGGGGCCTTTCTCTTGAATCTCTCTGGGGTCACTGCAATGGCCTTCTCCCTACCCAGCCAGTGTCCAGTCTTGTTACAGTCTGGTGGTCTTTCAAGAGGCAAAACTGATGATGTTACCCCAGCTTAGCAGTCTCACTGCCCCTCTTTTCTCAAGAACAAAGTTTAGAAGTCAGGCCAGAAAGTGTCCAAGGGCTAACCTCACCCATTCAAGCCCTCACCCCTAGCTGAGTGGAAACACATGGCTTACTCTTAGAAAAAAACTGTATGTGGCTTTACTGGGCCTTACAAAGGGGATCTTCTACCTTGAACAAAATCTTTCCCTAAATCTACTTGGTGAAGTTTTTGTCTTCGAAAGCCATTTCTTGACATTCGTCTTCTGAGCCACTGTCAGAGGAGGCCACTTTCCCTTTAGAGTCATCCCTGTCCCAATGCAGAGCCCCACCTTAAGGCACCTGTCCTACTGTATCATGTGTCATCATTACTTCCTGAGAGAAGTCTGCATCTCTAGACAATGGAGCTCTCTGATGGAGCTGCCCAGCCTTCCTGACCTGTTTCCTACTCCTCTCTCTTGGCTCCAGGCTTAGTTTGTGGCCATAGTATTTCTTGCCTGAATGCCAGACTCCCATTGAAGATGGAAACAACTGACTTGCAAATATGACTGATGAGCCTTCCAGAGTGAGTGGAAAAGGCAGGTGCAGCAGGGAAGAAACTAGAATTCATAGCAACAGAGAATATAAGACAGTTAGCATGGCAAGTGCATGATTAGTGACTGGGACAATGTGCTCTTGGTCTGGAGAGAAAAATGTATGTGGACAGGAGAAACAAAGTAAAGGACAATTGCTAAATGTTGAAACACAACTAGAAAGTACCTGCAGCTTCAGAAACACCTTTGAATGGGGGGATATTGATAAGGTCTCTGATCTCTGGTCCTATACTGGGTAACACTATGGAGACCACAGGAAGAGGGGACTTAGGAAGCCCAGGGAGACAACCTTTGGGAAGAAAACTGGACCTCCTTATGGTCTCTTTTCTGAGCAAGAAAGAGAACAGCTCAGGAGGAGTCATAGCAGGGAGGGTCTAACAGCTGTTCTCCTGTCTCAGAGTGCAATGAAGGGGGGGTTGGGGCTCTGAGGACATACTTTCTCTAGGGGGCTTAAATACCCAGAGACAAGGGAGGAGCAGGTTCTCCTGCTTCCTATTTGGTATGAAGAAGAAATCAAGGTCATGGTCTTAGGGCTTATACAGAAGCTCTGTATAAGCTTCTGATGGCTGACCACAGAGGTCACTGTTTCAAAGTGGGATGCTAGGCTCATTTACCTTCAGAAGAGCTGGCCTATATTTCATCCAAAGAAGATGAAAACCTTGCTGTCAGGATGTTAGTCCCTAGGCTGCCTCTGCACTCAAAGAACCAGGATGCCTCTAAGGAGATGAAACTGGACTTTCTCTCCTGGAAGCTCTTGGTACTTCTGATCTCCTTCACACTAGCACAGAGGCTCCAGGATCAGTCAGAGGTCACAGAGGAGTTCAGTTTTTGGCCTTTCAGTCCAGAACTCTAATTTCAGAAAAATTAGGGACTCCTGAGGATTAGGCAGGAGACATAATCCAAACGCCAGGGTTATGGATCCACTAAGGTAGGAATTATATCTAATGTAATTAAACCTTATCAAACTCAAAAGTTTCTGCAGTTTCCAAGTATTAGCTTATTATTTCTGGGTAAGTTCAACAAATGATTAAGATTAAAAACAGTGATACTGGGCTGGGTATGGTGGGTCATGCCTATAATCCCAGCTATGGGAGGTACAGGTAGGAGAACTGTAGTCTGAGGTAGCTAGGGCAAAAAGTGCAAAGCCCTATATGAAAAATAACTAAAGCCAAAAAAAGGCTGGAGGTGTTGTTCAAGTGGCAGAGCACCTGCCTGGCAAGCACAAGTTCCCCAGTTCTGCAATAAACAAAACAAAACAAACAAAAAAGAACTACCCTCCATCCCCAAACCCATAGCAATACTCTAAGAGAGAGCTGAATTTCTCTCTGTAGTGGAAGCAATCACCTGGAGAGGGGAGGTAGGGCTTCTGAGGTGTCCTACTCTCTAAGAAGTATTTTATCTGCTACAAATTCTGGAACAGGGTTCTCAGCCTTCCTTCTACCCTGCATAACCTGTAGCCTGTAACACTGTCTGTGATAGTAGCTCCCTACAACACTGATTCTTAATGGATAGTGTCAGAATCTTTTTTTTTTTTGCTATACTGGGGCTCGAATTCAGGGTTGACACCTTGAGCCACTCCACCATCCCTTTTTTGTGATGAGGTTTTTTCGAGATAGGGTCTTGTGAACCATTTGCCAGGGCTGGCTTTGAATCTCAATCCTCCTGATCTGTGCCTCCTGTGTAGCTAGGATTATAGATGTGAGCCACTGGTGCCTGGCTTGGTGTCAGAATCCTAAAGGGATGAGGAGTAGACAGATTTTCAAAAGCTCCCCTAGGTCTAAATGTACCACTCCCCTCGATGCTAGACTGAGAATCTCAGCTATACCATGCCCCAGACCTGGGCAGCTCACCCTCGTGATGGCTGATGTTGAGGTCAGTTTTCGCCGGGTCTTCTTACTTTCCGCAAATCCTCATCTTCGTAGAACAGGTCCTGAGCAGCGGGGGACAGAATGAGGCTGGGAAATCCCAGAAGCTTCTCAGACACTAAGGGAAGGACTGTGAGAAATTACCTGCCCATGTAAGGGATCGTCACTGCCCTCCTGTTCTGATGAGAAGCTCTCCTCTCTCCTCAGAGTAGTTGTCAATATCAGGAGAACGATCTGGAATAGATACCCTGGTAAGAGAGCCTCCCCTGGAAAGGTCTGACCTGAGAGATTTCAAGGGACAGGAGTCAATACAATGGGCTGGAAGGAAAGGCTACTACCATGGTTGGGGACACATTTTATTTCTCGGTATCTCCCAGCTTCTCTTGCCTGGAAACAATTCAGGCTTGTCCTGCTCAGCTTTTTTCAGGATGGAGATCAGGGTACAGGCTCCCTTGTCTTACACAGGGTCTGCAGACACTGTATATATCTTACCAGACAGCTTGGACTTGATTCCTTCATGGTCAATAGGCTGGCTGGACAGGGAGTAGATCTTTATTTCTGCCACAGGCAAGAGACGTCCTTTAACATTGCTGTGCAGGCCAAGCACCAGAGCACCTTCATTGGGGTGTTGCATCACCCTACAAGCAAAGAGTGGAGTGTAAATGACTTACCAGACAGGTCAAAGGTGAGCCATTTTCATAAATCCAGGTAAATATGCAAACCAATGGCAATAGCATTCTGCTAATACTTCTCACTTCCAAATCCACGCAACTGTTTCCTACAGCCTTCAAGGTCTTAATTTAAAACTATCTCTAAGCCAGGTATTGGGGTAGGTTCCTGAAGTCCCAACTACTTGGGAGGCTGAGGCAGGAGTATCACTTGAGTCCAGAAGTATGAGGTTACCCTGGACAACATAGTGAGATCTCCATCTCAAATACAAGAGAAAAATAAACTACTGTAGACATGCAGATGCTGGTCAGGCCATGCATTTAAAGATAATCTAGGCCTGAGATATGAAATGATTTGCTAATCTCTAGGATTTACATTAGCTTAAGTCCTTCACAGAGAAACTAGTTCTCAAGGCTTACAGATGGGTGGTCAGTTGTCCTGGTGATGAGGGAAGAAGAACTACAGCACGTGGAGAAATGGGGGACTTGACACAACCATTAATTCACTCCCCCCAGTACATGGCACAGTCCTGAAGAGGACAGAGGTGGGCTGGAATACTTACATATTTTACTAGAACTTAACTAAAAATACAGAAATAATTTTAAAAACGAACTTGTTCTCTCCTTGTGCATTACCAAAAGAGGAATTTGCCTGGCACATAGGAAAATAAGTAGGCAGACATATTGAGAAAAACAGGAGCCTGGCTTCTTGCTGTTGAAGAAGGGAAATAGAAATATGGAAAGAAAAAGCAAGGATAAGTCCTATAGTGCTGGGCTGGAACGGCAGTCAGGGCTGGACAGACATGGATACAGCCATGGAAATATGTGCACATGTATATGTGCTTCCCACCTCTCTGTGCTGCAAGGGATCAGAAGCAATGAAACCTGCATGGGAGGGATAAGTACCCAGATCTTGTTTTTTTAATGTTCTCCAATAAAAAACCCCAGGGCTCCTCAGAGAAAGATCAGCTCATTCTAGGGCTGGGTCAGGCAAAGTGCAAGATGAACCTGGGCTATTTTGTATCAGAAAGTAAGAAGACATGTAAAAAATGAAGGCTCTTATCAAAAAGGACATAGGTAACTGCTTGACAGGGCTCCCAATGTCCAAATGTGAGACAACTTGAGTGTCAAATAAACAACTAGATAAGATAAAACCCCAAATAAAAGAGGAACCCACAGGTCTACAGCTGATACAAACAAGTGAATCAATGGATAAGTGGGTGAGGAGGGAACACTCTTAGAACAGAAAGCCAACTGACAAATATAAGAATAATGGGGGGATTAGAAATTCAGTTTGGCAACCATCAAAGTAATGACCAATTCAGGCAAAAATCATTAACAGATGCTAAAACTGGTTGGTGAAAAGATAGCTATAGTCTCAAAATATCATGACATAAAGCATTTTTTTTGTCATTAGTGAGAACAAAATACTTACTAACTTGTATGGAAAATCCTTGTAGACACCATCTTAACAGGAAGAAATCAGCATCATGTGCAGCCCTTGCTGTGCTGGGAAGAAAAATGCTACTTGGGTGGTAATTCTGCCAAATGTGCACAAACTGAACCTATTTCAAGATACAGCAGGCAAACTCAGACTGAGGATCATTTAATAAAGTAACCAGCCTGCACTTCTAAAAACCACCAAGGTCAGAAAAGACAAAGAAAAATCTGGGACTTGCTGCATACTGAAGGAGACTAAAGAGACGTGACAACAAAACATGACAAACTTCTAGATTAGGTCCTGGGTCCTTGAGAAATTCACCGAGACACTCAGCATCAACTGACTGGGGACTGTAGGTTACACTGAGCTCTTACATCGTGCCAATGTCATGATTGTGATGGTGGCATGGAGCTTAGCTTAGAGAGTAATTCTCATGCATAGGGAATAAAATAGTTCAGTATTACTATTGAATGGCTCAGAAAATAATTATCCATAACACACATTGAGAGTAATAAGGCAGCTATGATAATATGTTAACAGTGAAGAATGTGGGTGGATTGGCATACAGGCGTTCTTTATACTATTCTTGTAACTTTTCCATAAACTTAATGTGGTGATTGGCAGGAGCATCAGCTACTTGGCTGGATAGGCCAGGAGCCTGGGCCTAGCAAGACCACATTTTAAAAAGAAAAAAGTTAAACAAAAAACTTTTTTTTTTTTTTTTTTTTTTCATTTTTTTCTTTATTATTCATATGTGGCATACAAGGCTTGGTTCATTTCTCCCTGCCCCACCCCTCCCTTACACCCACTCCCCCTCCCTCCCTCCCCCTCATACACCAGCAGAAAACTATTTTGCCCTTATTCTAATTTTGTTGTAGAGAGAGTATAAGCAATAATAGGAAGGAACAAGGGTTTTTGCTGGTTGAGATAAGGATAGCTATACAGGGCATTGACTCACATTGGATTTCCTGTGTGTGGGTGTTACCTTCTAGGTTAATTCTTTTGATCTAACCTTTTCTCTAGTACCTGTCCCTTTTCCTATTGGCCTCAGTTGCTTTAAGGTATCTGCTTTTCTCTGCGTTAAGGGCAACAAATGCTAGCTAGTTTTTTGGTGTCTTACCTATCCTCACCTCCCTTGTGTGCTCTCGCTTTTATCATGTGCTCATAGTCCAATCCCTTGTTGTGTTTGCCTTGATCTAATGTCCACATATGAGGGAGAACATACGATTTTTTGGTCTTTTGGCCAGGCTAACCTCACTCAGAATGATGTTCTCCAATTCCATCCATTTACCAGCGAATGATAACATTTCGTTCTTCTTCATGGCTGCATAAAATTCCATTGTGTATAGATACCACATTTTCTTAATCCATTCGTCAGTGCTGGGACATCTTGGCTGTTTCCATAACTTGGCTATTGTGAATAGTGCCTGCAATAAACATGGATGTGTGCAGGTGCCTCTGGAGTAACAGTCTTTTGGGTATATCCCAAGAGTGGTATTGCTGGATCAAATGGTAGATCGATGTCCACTTTTAAGTAGCCTCCAAATTTTTTTCCAGAGTGGTTGTACTAGTTTACATTCCCACCAACAGTGTAAGGGGTTCCTTTTTCCCCCCATCACGCCAACACCTGTTGTTGGTGGTGATGAATGGCTATTCTAACAGGGGTGAGGTGGAATCTTAGTGTGGTTTTAATTTGCATTTCCTTTATTGCTAGAGATGGTGAGGCATTTTTCATGTGTTTTTTGGCCATTTGAATTTCTTCTTTTGAGAAAGTTCTGTTTAGTTCACATTGCCCATTTCTTTATTGGTTCATTAGTTTTGGGAGAATTTAGTTTTTTAAGTTCCCTGTATATTCTGGTTATCAGTCCTTTGTCTGATGTATAGTTGGCAAATATTTTCTCCCACTCTGTGGGTGTTCTCTTCAGTTTAAGACCATTTCTTTTGATGAACAGAAGCTTTTTAGTTTTATGAGGTCCCATTTATCTATGCTATCTCTTAGTTGCTGTGCTGCTGGGGTTTCATTGAGAAAGTTCTTACCTATACCTACTAACTCCAGAGTATTTCCTACTCTTTCTTGTATCAACTTAAGAGTTTGGGGTCTGATATTAAGATCCTTGATCCATTTTGAGTTAATCTTGGTATAGGGTGATATACATGGATCTAGTTTCAGTTTTTTGCAGACTGCTAACCAGTTTTCCCAGCAGTTTTTTGTTGAAGAGGCTGCTATTTCTCCATCGTATATTTTTAGCTCCTTTGTCAAAGATAAGTTGCTTATAGTTGTGTGGCTTCATATCTGGGTCCTCTATTCTGTTCCACTGGTCTTCATGTCTGTTTTTGTGCAAGTACCATGCTGTTTTTATTGTTATTGCTTTGTAATATAGTTTGAAGTCAGGTATTGTGATACCTCCTGCATTGTTCTTTTGACTGAGTATTGCCTTGGCTATTCGTGGCCTCTTGTGTTTCCATATAAATTTCACAGTAGATTTTTCAATCTCTTTAATGAATGTCATTGGAATTTTGATGGGAATTGCATTAAACATGTAGATTACTTTTGGGAGTATCGACATTTTTACTATGTTGATTCTACCAATCCATGAGCATGGGAGATCTCTCCACTTTCTATAGTCTTCCTCAATCTCTTTCTTCAGAAGTGTATAGTTTTCCTTGTAGAGGTCGTTCACATTCTTTGTTAGGTTTACACCTAGGTATTTGATTTTTTTTGAGGCTATTGTAAATGGAATTGTTTTCATACATTCTTTTTCAGTTTGCTCATTGTTAGTGTATAGAAATGCTAATGATTTTTCTATGTTGATTTTATATCCTGCTACCTTGCTATAGCTATTGATGATGTCTAGAAGCTTCTGAGTAGAGTTTTTTGGGTCTTTAAGGTATAGGATCATGTCGTCTGCAAATAGGGAT